GTGCTCCCACTTAGTTGACTTACCAACGCATTACCAAGGGGGACTGTGCTCTCCCTCTTCATTTCTTCCACACAAAGCTTCACAGTCACTCTTCCAGCTTTAATCCTGCAATCAATGGTTCTCAACTGGAAGCCACACAGTGTAATCATCTGGGGAGCTTGCCATGGTCCCACCTGCGGAGGGTCTGATTTAATTGGTCTGGGGTGTAACCTGGGCATCAAGATGTTAATAAGCTCCTCAGGAGATACTAACGTGCAGCCAAGGTTGAGAACTATTGGTTTCATGCCTGCCAGAGATATCTCACACCAGTCCCACTCTAGAGCCTGGCTCAGATGGAACAATTTGCAGCAAAGAATTTTAATTAGCTTGATAGTGGCAGAACTGAAATTAGATTCTATGTTTCCTGACTTCCATATGCACCATTTTGCCTCATGGCCAAGATACTTACATTTAAAGTTTTCATATCAATTTGATAGCCAAAGTGTGACCAGAAAAATAAGGAAGCCTCCAAAGATACCTATGAAGTTTCCTTTATAACAGTCCTTATTTCAAGGGGCTTTCATTTGTTTCCTTTTCATTTTCAAGATACTTTTGACTCAGCTCTCAATGGCAAGCAACGAATGACACCTTTCCTTGGGTTCTACTCTTCTGACTTCTGCTTGTCAATTTCCACTTGCTGGGGAAGAGGCTTCCATTTGAATTCAGAAGTAAGCAAAGGGGACTGGAAGGTGTTCACTTCTCTCAACCTCTTTTGAAGTAAGTCCAGAAGAATAAATGAATGTGTAAGAGGTTTTGAGGGTGAGAAAATAGAGAAGATGGCATTCTTTTAGTATTACATCACACATGTCATCTGTGCAACTCTAATTTCTTTCTTTCCTCAGAAAGAAAAAGAGGATTGTTTGAAATAGGACTCAGATCTCTGATGCTTTTTGTCCACATTTTAATGTGTGATTTAGATCCACTTGAAGCTTAACTGTTACTCCCAAGGCATAGATACCCTCCGAGTTGGCTGTATTATTGTCAGGAAAGTAACAGCACACGTGATTACATTGAACAGCATTAGTTACAGCAAGCCATTAATGGAGATATGTTTTTATTAGAATAATTGTAGTAATACAGTCTCATTTTAAAAATAATTTAATGCACCCACATGCTTTCTTCCATGATCAAGTGCTCTTCTGTTTGAAAATAGGGAGCAGCAGGAAGAATAGAAGCAGCAGGAAGAACCAGATGTGCAGGAAAGTAGTTTGTAAGATTGAATCCAAGCAGCAGTAGCCCTGCCCCTTCCCCCAAGAGAAGCAGCCTGATGATGACGATGATGATGATGGTGATGATAGCACCAAACCCTTAATTAATCCTTTACAGTTTTAAACATGCTTTCATGCGTAATTATTTTATTTTATCTTCACAGCAAACTTGCTGTGACTTTCCAGGTAAGGAAACTGAGGCCTACAGACAGTTAAAGTGGCTTGCCCCAAATCACACAAGCTAGTGTGAAGGGGCTTCCATGACACAAATGAAAATATTGTCTTCCTATTCTTAGGCTTTTTATCACTTCTTTTACTTTGTAATGTATCACAACAACCTAGATGTAAAATAATGGAGCTGGAGTTGACTTCTCTTCATCCTCAGCAGTGTTGTTACTTTTCCATTATTTTTCAGTTACCAGATTTTTATTTTTGACAAAAGAATAGCAAAGGTAAAAGCAAAGTATTTTGTTCCACTCCTCACATAGAGTTTAGAAGACCAGACAACAGACTTGCCAGGAAATCACTATTAGAATAAACCTGGAACCATAACCATCACAGAGGGATATAGCCAGTGAGGTGATTCTCTGAGCAACTGCAGCAAGCTTGCAAAATGCAATTACCCTGAGCATGAGATCCCTGCCTAGTTATGCCTCTGATGCACGTGATATTCTACCTGGTATTATAGTTGCCTCTCTGTGTCTTATTTTCCTTCCAATATGATAAGTTTCTTGAGGGTAAAGCTGCATGTTTTTCGGTTCCTCCTCCCTACCAACGATTCCTCCTAACCCCTGCACTTCCTAATGTTTGTATTATCACCACCATTTATCACCTGCCCTTGACATCCACCTTAAACAGATTTCGCCTGTATAAAACTGATAGGAAAGGTTAGAGAAGTTTCTTCACTCTAATTTGTATCAGGCCCCACACTTCTAGGGATGGCCTTTTTTCTTAGTCTCTACAACTTTCTTATAACGATACTTTCCCAACTATATAACCTCTTAATTGCCCATGGGAGAGAGTTAAATAATGAAAAAAAGAGATGAGAGAACAAAGAATTTGTTTCTGGTATGATCTCTGACCTAAGAAATAGGATGCTTTGGCACTTACCTGGTAGATAAGTGGCCAGCCTCCCATGAAGGAAACCTCTAGTAAATGACCTCCTTCCATCAGGGAACTCTCCCCACAGCAACGCTTTGCAGTGGACACTCATCATTGTAGAGATAGAAATTATGCCAATAAGAAATTATTATATATTTTTTCAGTATGGAGATTTCTCAAAAAAATTAAAAATAGAAATACCATATGATCCAGCTATTCTACTACTGTTTATCCAAAGAACATGAAATCAATAATTCAAAAAGATGTATGCACCCTTGTGTTCATCACAGCATTATTCACAATAGCCAAGACATGGAAGCAACCCAAGTGCCCATCAATGGATGAATGGATAAAGAAGATGTGATATATATAAACAATGGAACACTGCTCAGCCATAAAAAAAGATAAAATTGTGCCATTTGTGACAACATGGATGGACCTTGAAGGTATGCTGAGCGAAATAAGTCAGAGACAAATACTGTATGATTTCACTCATATGTGGAAGATAAACAAACAAAACACATAAATAAAGAGAATAGATTAGTAGTTACCAGAGGAGAAGAAGGTGGGAGGAGGGCAAAAGGAGTAAAGGGGCACATATGTATGGTGATGGATGAAAACTGGACTGTTGGTGATGAACACAATGCAATCTATACAGAAGCTGAAACACAGTGATGTACACCTGAAATTTACACAATGTTGTAAGCCAATATGACCCCAATAAAATAATTTTTAAAAGAATTTTTTATGTTGTTTTTGAGATTATTACCTAATCAGTATTTTATCCAGAAAAGGAGCACAAGGAAAAGTGTTCTTTGAGCAAGAAAGTATCAGAAGTGGCATTTAATCATGGGTCAGCAAACTATGGCCCAGGGGGAAAATCTTGCCTACTACATATTTTTGAAATAAAGTTTTATTGGAACACAGCCACATCCATTGGTTTACAGATTTTCTTTGGCTGCTTTCATACTACAACAGCAGAGTTGAATTGTTGCAAAAGAGACCATATGGCCTGCAATGTCAAAAATATTATTTAACTGGCCCTTTACAGGAAAAAATTTTTCAACCCTGATCTAGACAATCCAGAAGCTTACCAGAAAATATTATCTTCACTTATTAAGGATCTTGACCCAAGTGCATCTCTAGGTTTCTTTCTATTGATATATCCAGAGAAACAATTTTCTGCAGAAGAGCAGACACATCAGGAGTGGCTGAGACCTGGGTAAAGACATAATCCATTGACAAAGTGCTCACCTGCAGGATAGAAAAGTAGAAGTAGAGTTCAGAGGTGGCAAGCCTGAAAGCCTACAGGGGCCAAGCAGGCAAGATAAATTGCAGTAGGCCAGGTGGGGGCTGTGGTAAACTAGAGAGCGTGTGCTCACCTTTGGGGCAGTTCTAGCTGGGTTGCTTTGCAGGAATGTGGGCCCAATGTTTATAGAAGCTCTAATTTTCAGAATCTCCTGGAAATTGGTTTGTTTTTGTGAAGTGTCCTAATATTTAAATGGTGACAGCTGATTACAAACAAAAATAGGAGGGCAAGCACACAAAAACCTCCACATGGATGTTTACAGCAGCTTAATTCATAATTGCCAAAACTTGGAAGCATCCAAGATGTCCTTCAGTGGGTGAATGGACAAATAAACTGCAGTGCTTTCATACCATGGAATATTATTCGGTGCTAAAAAGAAATGAGTGATCAAGCCGTGAAAAGATGTGGAGGAACTTTAGATGCATGTTACTAAGTGAAAGAAGCCAGTCTGAAAAAGCTAAACTGTGTCATTCCAACTACTATATGACATTCTGGAAAAGACAAAACTATGGAGACAGCAAAAAGATCAGTAGTTGGTAGGGGATGGAAGGGAGGGGGGGATGAATAGGCAGATCACAGAGGATTTTTAGGGCAGCGAAACTATTCTGTATGATACTATAAGGGTGGATACATGTCTACATATATATTTGTCAAAACCTATGGAATATACACCACCAGAGTGAACCCTAATGTAAACTATGGAGTTTGGGTGATAATGATGTGTCAACATAGGTTCACTGATTGTAACAAATGTGCCACCTTAATAATGTATATGAATTGAAGAGGAATGGGTATCCAAAGGAAAAATCGAAGTATCATTACTAGATCGGATACTAGGAATGCAAAAGCAGCAGAATTCCACTACACCCAGTTACCCGAGTTAGCTAGGGCTCTTTAAATTCCCTCCTCTTTGCCCCTCATGTCAGGGTCAGGGGAGAAAATAAGATTCTAAAACGCCAGGCAAGTGATTACTAAGATGCCCTCATTTATAGTGAAGTACAAACAACTGAGATTCTTAATAAATACTGAGGATTGTCGATAGTGGACAGCTCTGTCTCGGTGGGAATTTCCACTTGAAAAGATCAAAATGAGACTGAAGCTATAGAACTTGTGACAGTCATTAAATGCTTCACATTTTAGGCAGGATATAAGTGGAACATTAATATATAACAATTCTTTGGGCTGAAATCAAGTCTAGCATCTTACATTAAGAAGATTAATTAGTTGGTGTTTATAAAGTACTGTGCAGATATGCCCTTTTAAAATGCTAAGTATTGCAAAAGCTACATTGTAGCATTTTACTAAATGTAAGAGATCTAACGTTCATCATTTCTTTGGTACAGGTTGGCAAAGATTCTTTTGGCAACGATTATATAGAAAACTTAAAACAGAATGATATTTCTACAGGTAAAATTTCATCTTTTTTTCAGTTCGTTTTTATAACTTTCATCTGGGATCTGGTTACAAGAAAAGTTGAATATAGAATAGAATCATTAGATCCTCCCCTAGTGACCAGAGAATTTTTATGCACGACACAGACAAAGCTTGCTTAAATGTCTTCTGGTTAATTCTTGCCTGTACATTCCTCCAGATGGGAATAAAATGATAGGAGGTTACAAAACTTTATCTCGTAGAAATGTTTCCAAAGCAGGTGACAAGAGAAAACAGGTGCTCCATTCACAAAAGATACTTTAAGAAAAGTCATCAAATGTCATAGCTGGAAATGATCTTAGAAACCATTGAGGCAGATACCATCATTTCACAAAAGAGAAAACTGAAGGCCAGATTGGTTCTGAATTTGTCCAAGAGCACACAGCTAGTTGGAGCTAGAGCCAGGACTAGAATGCAGGTCTTTGGCTCCAGTTCAAGGCTCTTTGCTGCTGCCAAAGGCTGCCTGATCAACATTTCCATTTACATACCAGCCCACAATTCTTGATGAGATGCAAAGTTTATGAGAATGAAGAAAATCAAACAAGTTCATTTCATAGGTTTAACCTTTAATCTTTCATCTCAAGTCTGTCATTTCTTTCACTGAAGAAATGAAATATGGTGGTCTAGAAAAATGCATATGTATACAACTATGAATAATTTGGGGGAATTGGAAGTGGGGTGGTTTGCCAGGTTGTTACTAATGTAGAGAAAAGGTACAACTAAGTGTAAAGACTTCTGTTTTCCTTATTGTTTAGGTGCTGGGTATAAATTAGCACTAAATACTTATTTCTTTTTTATCATTCCAGATGGTTAAAGGTTCAAAGTTTTCCCAAGGATTAGTAGTGCATTGAAATTGATAAAATAGATTATCCATGCCAGGCTGTATATATGTGATTGTAATTCCTTTTTTCTTTTAGAATTTACATATCAAACTAAAGATGCTGCAACAGGAGCTGCTTCAATAATTGTCGATAATGAAGGTATGTGTTTCACATATTGGAGTGTCATTTCATAAAACAGTTCATTTCCAGAACTAGAGCAGAAGCATCAGTTTTTACCCTAATCCTATGTATGGATCTCTTACCAAACCCACCACTCCAAGGCCTAAAGCATGGTCTTTCTGATCTAAATATAAATGTTTTGCTTTTTTCATACTTCCCAGGTTGATCATTCAAATATGAAATCGTCCATCTAAACATATGAAGTATTATAGTTGCCTCAAAATAATATTTATATCCTGTAAATAATATTTATATCCTGTAATGTCTCATTACCCTTCATGTGAACTCAGAATTGGCATTTGTCTCTAAAACAGTTAAGTATTCATCTGTCATTTCAGTTACACTAGGTAAATAAATGTAAATAGATAGGTGCACAAGAAAGTTGATGAATCATATTTATAGAATATTTACTAAGCGAGCAGCAACTAATTACTTCTAACTTATTGTTAGTGTTCAATTTTGTCTGCTCTTTAAACAGCAATGAAATCTCAAAGTCTATATATACAACTATGTCTGTCACAAGGCTTTGTGATAGTTGAAACATTTGTCTTTAAAAACAGCAACTTCCAGGGCAGCCCCAGTGGCCTAGTGGTTAAGTTCGGCACACTCTGCTTCAGCGGCCCGGGTTTGGTTCCTGGGTCAGGGCCTACACCACTCTGTTAGTGGCCATGCTGTGCTGGCAGCCCACATACTAAAAAATAGAGGAAGATTGGCATGGATGTTAGCTCAGGGCGAATCTTCTTCAACCAAGAAAAAAGAAAAAAAACCAGCAACTTCCCTTTACCCTCAAGTAAAGTTTTCATAATTTCTGCCAACTATTTAAAGTATAAAAACACCTACATACGATTTTTTAAATCAGAATTAATATTCAAAAGGAATTTCATGGGCACCAAGGACAGAACCTAGTACATGATGGATAGTCAGCGTGCCTTGTATTAAATTAGGATTTGTCACAAGATGTCTTTTACTTATAATGCAGTTATCCAAGATCATTTCTCATAGAAGATATGGTATTTTTAGCTCTACTTGGTGATCCCACAGTTGCAATAACAACAACATGTATTCCACTTAAAGACAGTAGATAAAAGTTTTCCTTCTAACAATAGACAATCTGTGTTCATTACTTTAAACTCTATCTTGAGTAATTATTGCTGCCAGCAGCAGCTCATTCCCTGTCTTAAACCTCTTTTTTGTGTTCTAAGGATATCTTTGAGTTCTGTTTCTTCCTCATCTCTGTAACAAAATACTGCATTTTCCATGCAAAGATATAATTTAATATTGTGTATTGAGCACCTATTATGGAAGACTTTGTCTGGTTTATAGCATATTGTAATACCCTCCTTGAGCGTTTAGATCATAGTAGAAGAGCTAATGCAAATATCCAGAGAGGGGACAATCAGCTCCTTTAAATGAAGGAGTGAGTGGCAAAGTAAAGAGTTTAGTTTTGACAAGTTAAATTTGAGGTCTGAAATGAGCTAGCCATATGGCAGTGTCCACCAGACAGCTGTAGTCTTGGGCTTGTTGCTCATCAGACAGGGCCAGGCCAGAAATGTAGATTTGGGAGTCAGCAACACAGAAGCAGCAGTTGACTCTAGCAGAGAGAATGAGGTCACTGAAGGAGAAAAGGAAGGAGGTAAGCTGTCTTTCAGTGTGTGGGTACTTTGAATTTTTCCAGTAATGAGGTTGGGTTTATGCCGAACCATCCCACTTTATTCAGTCCTCCTTGTGGCCAACCAGCACATCTGTGGTAAGATGATAGGCTAGCATGTGTTCTGTGTTCAGAGGTAATTTTAGGTCATGTCTATACAAGATCAGCACAAGCAGCCTGGAGCACAAAAAATAACTGCTGCAACTCATTCCTCTAGATCAGTGCTGCCCAATAGAAATATAATGCAAGCCACATATATAATTTTAAATTTTCCATTGGCCACATTTTAAAAAGTAAAAAGCAACTTAATCTAATATATTCACTTAACTCAATATATCCAAAATATTATCCTTTCAACATGTAATCAAAATGTTCTTAAAAATTAATGAGATATTTTACCTTGTTTTCTTTGTACTCTGTCTTTGAAATCTGCTATGTATTGTACAATTAAAGCACATCTCAATTTCAAGTGCTCAATAGCCACATGTGGCATGTGCTCATGACTATCATGTTGGACAGCACAGCTCTTGAGTTCACCCGACAGATAAAATGCCCCATTTTGGTTGAGCTGTAGAGAGTGGGCCCAAGTGATGAGTATTTGAGTATTTAAGATTCCTCGGTACTGCTTCTGTTTGATCCGGTACAGTATAGGCCATATATCCCTCTCTCTACCTTAAGTTATCTGGTATAATTTTCCATCTGTTAGATATTATAAAATGTGTTTTTATTTAAAAAATTACTTTTTAAAATACCCTAGAGCACACACATGAACTGATTGCATACTACAGAGCATTATGTTTTAGCATTAGGCAAGTTTATTCCTAATTATACTCATCATTATGACATCTATCATTTAGGATTCGGAATCTTTAACACATACATTGTACCAGCTATTTCCCATAAAAGAAAATATTAAAGTATGTTATATATCATTTCTAAGCTAATATTCTTTGTATGTAAGAATATTGATAGAAATCTTTTTTAGACTTTGCTCAAAATAATCAGAATGATCTGAATCTTACAGAGATATTATAAAAGAAGATACATTAGGAACACAAAATTTAACTGAATGACCTAGAAATGTTAAAATTAATACAACACATTTTTTATAATGACTTTGTAAGGGTGATTGTAACACTGCAGAATATCATTGCTTGGCTCTGCTTGGTTTTTAATATAAATCTGTAGAAATTCTTTATAGGCCAGAATATCATCGTTATTGTGGCTGGAGCAAATTTACTTTTGAATACTGAAGACCTGAGGGAAGCAGCCAATGCCATTAGCAGAGCCAAAGTCATGATCTGCCAGCTAGAAGTAACTCCAGCAACTTCTTTGGAAGCCCTGACAATGGCCCACAGCAATGGAGGTGATTTTACATATTTGTCATTCTTTCTATAAAAGCTTTTATCGCTGTCTTAATGAAAGTTAACCCTTCAAGTTAAGCAAAGCAATACTTTTTCTGTAGTAAAATATTCTTTCTCCCATCTGTGAGATTCACTGTCTTCTGGTGGTTCTTGATAATGTTAGAAAAACCTTCCAAATAGGGTAAAAATAATGAGTAGCATTTCTGATATCCCACGATCTAAATCTTCAATCCAGTTAGCAGAAATACTACGTGTAGTAACTAGATTCTTTGAAGCAGCCCGTTGTCCAAGATACACTCTAAGTAGTGGAATGATTTCCATTCTGAGAAGCAGAGGTTAAGCTGCATGTCATGTACAATCACTGCCCAGGTACATTTTGATAAACACGTGTAAGAATTGAAGATTAGTTCTTTCTCCTTTTTGTAAAATTTTATCTTTTCTATAAACAGCAAAAGATTATTTATATGTAATATTTTCTATGTTGTCAACATCCTTTAAGCAGCTCTTTTGTTTTGTTTAACCTTTGATTTTGGAAATCTTCAAATATACAAAAGCAGATAGAATTGTATAATGAAACCCATTACCCAGCTTCAACAATTATCAACCCATGTCTAATCTTGATTCATCTCTTCTCCTACCCACTCCCCTTCTCTAACCCCCAGCAAATAACAAACTTTTAAAAACTCCAGATACTTTCTTTTTATTTGCTTCTTTTTCACCATTGACTATTGGGGAAAGCATCTCCTGAGTTAAAATCTCATTTCTATTCCTTTTAAGCTTTGTGGTCTTAGCAGAATTATCTAATTTTTCTGAGCCTTGTCTGTTAAATGCATATAGAAATACTCCCCTACAGAATTGTTCTAAGAATGAAATAAAATAAAATATGATGCCAAGCATGGTGTATTAAGCCTCAGTAAATCCCAATTTTCTTCTCCCTTTCACTTCTTTTTTTAAAATTAGGATAATATACTGATCTCAGCACCATTTGGTCAAAAAAAGTAAAAAGTAGCACTCTAAGACAATGGCTTCTTCTTGATATCGTGGCCATAGTTCTGTGATTTATATTAAGAAGAAAACAGAGAGAGAACCACACTGACTTTTCCAGATAAAACTCTCACAACCAGATACAAAACTAAAAAACAAAAAAGAAGAAAAAGAACAGTAAATGTATGTGTGTGTGTGTGTGCGCGCATGTGTGTGTATAAGCGATTTCTCCCAAAGCGTATAGTGTTCTACATAGCAATAAATGGAAAATAAGTTACTGAAGTGATTTTGTAGAGAATTTTAAAATGTATTTCCTGATTTAACAAATTTTCCTCTTGGCAAAACAACATGCTGTGGCAAATTCTCACTGACATTTAATGTATTTTTAATGGTCTCGAAGCTGTCAGAAAGAATTCTAAGCCAAAAACCATTTGGTTACGTTTTCTCAGAGTGTCACAGATAAAGTCTAATGCTTGTGATAAGCATTCTCTGCACTGCACTCATCTTAATCAGGTGATATGAATACAACATGCCACTTCATTCATGCTCCTGTCTTTCTTTATATAGGTCAAAGCATATTCTCACATAACTTCTCTTTTTTTCCTATTATCCCTTGCTTCTCAGAGATCACTGTTTCTTCTGTCCTAGTCTAATGACCTGTTACCTACCCAGCTTGTGGAGGAGAGAAAGGTACAGCCACCACAGTTGAGGATCTAACCTTTCACAGGTGAGGCTAGAGTTACCCGCATGGGCAGGCACCCTGACCTGGGGCTGTCATTTAGGTGGAGTCCAAAAATGCTTCCTCCATCACTTGCCTGGTAGCTCTTCCAGTTGAGTAGCTGAAGGACCCTGGGCATCAGAAATGGTCGGGAGTAGGTGAGGGTGGGCCAAAGACCACCTAGCCTACCTCAAATTTTTACTAAGAACCAACATGTCTAACTATTAATTCTTCATGAGCTTTCTTAAATAGTAATTTTGGAAGTGGTGATACCTTGTATTTATATGCACTTTACAGCTTATAAAGCACTTTCATTTATATTTGATGCTCAGGAAAACCTTATGACAAAGATATGGCAGGCATTATTCTCCTAGATTGAAGGAGAAGACAGAGTCAGAGAGGTTAAGTAATTAGCTCAACCAAGGTCAGTGTAGAAACCAGGATTTCAGACTCCAAGACCCAAGGTCTGTATCCTAGACCACACTGCCACATCTCAGTGATTTCAAGGAACTGAGCCTTTACGAAGAGCATCTCTAGAAAAGTAAAGTCCAAGAATTGTCCAACATGTAGCCTAAGCTTTGAGTGTTTTTCTGCTCAAGTCACAGAGACGAGACCCTAGAGCGTTTTCAGCAACATGTCCCCTACTCACCCCCATAAAACACACACACACAAGCACACATGCAGACACTCTCCTCTGTCCAGAACTCAGCCGTTCCCTATTTGATAGTTACCAGTTAGATTTGGTAGTTAGGCAGCTTAGATTCTATACCATGAGTGTGTGTGTTAGTGAGTGAATTTAATGAATTTAATATATCTTCATTCTCACATGAGAGAAGAGTGGTACAATGAAAAGAGCGCTGGATTGGGAGTCATGAAGTATGGCTTTAAATTCAGAGTCAATGACCTAGCAAGTGGGGGACCTCATGCAAGTAAATCAGTTCTTGCTCTGGGCCTCAGTTTCTTCTGCTATAGAAACAAGAGAATTGGGCTGAGAGCTCTCACAGTTCTTTAATGTCACGATGTGTGAATAGACTGATCACAGAGCAGAGCAGGCAAAGCTTAAAGTTCTGTTGAGTGCTGAGTGTCCTGTCCATTTTCCCAGGAGGCTGCATATATGCTATTCAGCATTATTCCATCTACAAGAAAGATGGTAAAATCATCATCGTCATCATCATCATCTGTGGGTTTGTTATCACAACTCCCTTCTCTGTCCTACATACTTACAAGGAGTGAAGTTTGAATTAAACGCACTGTATAACTAGATTATATATCAATTGTTAAAATACAGAGGAAAAAGACCCCTGTCTGTTTGAATATACTGTCTCAGAAATCTCTGTCTTTCCCAAAATGAAAGCATTGGTTTTAAACAGACAGCACCTGCCACAGCAAAAATGAATCTGTAGCCCTCTGCAGCCCTGCTCCTCTAGGTCATGATGCTGTGAGGTAGGCCCACGGCAGAGCTGGTGCTGCAGCTGCTTGTGATGAAATTATGCATGTTGGTTCTGGTCTTTATATCTATTTCAAAGCAAATGGAACATTACAGGAACAATTATCAATAATTGAGATTGTAAGATCGCCAAGATTAAATTCTAGGTAGGGTACAAAGTATCTTTGAGTGCCACTTTAGTCCTTTTCCATTTGGCAAACAAAACTTCTTGGCTAGCCACCTTGACTTTCACAATAACACTGTCTAGCACATAGCCCAAGCTTTGAGTGTTTTTGCTGCTCAGGTCACAGAAAAGAACCCCCAGAGTGAGAGACTGCCAAGCCAGTGTTTTGGGTACTCCAGCCTTCCCACGGTTTCTTTAACTTAGGGTGATTTTCTTCCTTGTTTCTCTTTGTTGGTTATTAGGGCCTTTTTAACTCTCCAGCCCCTGCCCTCCACGTGTGACATCATTAAGAGCTTCCCCATCATTTTCCTGTCTTTGCACCTATACAACTGCCTCACTAGTTCCTCACTGACATTGTTGTGCCAGCCATTGACATGCTGTTAAGACAACCAGGAGTTTAGTCCATCTTACGTTGTAATGAATAATAATTACAGTTGGGTGCTGTCAGTCACCTCTGCAGCTCCAAGTTATTCCATGGTACATCCTGTGCTCTCTAGTTTTACATGGTTCCAGGATGACATCATTTTTTTTCCATCATGTCTATTACAAATTTGCATTCTTCTTTGATTAACTCCATCTACTAATTCTTCACTTTTCTTTCATCACAGTAAGTATTTATGCTTATTTATGGTAGTGTGGAGCCGAAGAGAGTCCTTTCTTTATGGCATTTTCACTTTTCCCCTAAATTCAGTTGCTAGTCAGACTCTAACCCTATGTATCCTGTTAGTATTGGTAAGAATGCTTTCCCTTAGTAAAATACCCTCAGCAAATAAGATTTGATTGATTTTTATACAATATTTATGGTCAAATTAAATTGAAGTCCTCATTCCAGCAATTGTTGCTTAAAATTCAATGTAATTGTTTCTTTAAAATTTGTTTTTATTGTGGAAAATTTCAAATATATATGTGGTCTATAAAAAATAATATGGTAAACCCATATATACTATCATTTAGCTTCAACAGTTGTCAACACATGGCCAATCTTGTTTCATGTGTACCTCATCTCATTACTCCCCCCGCCCCCACTGTAGCCTTGGACTATTCTGAAGCAAAACCCAGACATTATATCATTTCATTCACAGTACACTTGTTTTTTGCTGTAAGATATAGATGTTTTAAGAATGATGTTTTTGCATAGTATACAGAAGTTAATATGTGGTCAAATTTATTCCCATCAGCCTTTTGTAACTAATCACTTATTAGTTTAGTGAGTAACCTCTCAGAATTTTTTCTCTTCTATGTAAGTGTATAAATGTAAACATACATATAGTTATGTTTTGTTTGTTTTGTTAAAAAAGAGGGGGGTCATACTATAAATTTTATTACAAAACTGACTTTTTTCACTTATAAATAAATATAGAAAACTTTCTGTGACAAAACAGAGATCTACTTCATTCTTTTTAACAACAGTAGAGTATTCCATTGAACGTATATGTCGTAATTTTTTTTAACCAGTCCTCTCTGATAGATGCCTAGGTTTCTTTTTGTTTTTTCTGTTACAAACAGAGCTGAATGAACTTAATTGTACCTCATCTTTGCATGCCTGTGTATTTCTGTGGGATAGGTTTAGAAAAGGAGTTACTGGATCAGGGATCTCTTGAGATAAAATAGAACTTTCATAAGAAGAATGGCTCTACTGTGTTGTTCCATACTGGTAGCTTGCTCTAACCTGTGATCAAATGCTGCTAAGTGCAGATTTGAGATCTTTTTAGGTGGGCAATAGTGTTTCAATTTAATGCTTGAGGAAAATAGGGAACAATATATTCATTCTGAAAACCTAAAAAGTAAATGGATATGTTAGATTGCTGTGTAGTGAGGGCCTTTATGCATAATTGGCATCTATAAGGCCTTGCAGAAGTGGCAAAACCAGTGAGATTGTTGCCAGGCTACAAACTCCAAAAGAGTACAGAAGAAATGGGTGGACAGGCGGGGGTGTTGGGCTATGTGTAAAGGACAATATAATGACAATAATAATCCGTTACATTTGTGCAACACTTTACAGTTTACACAGGGCTTTTACGTCTGTTTTCTAATTTAAGCTGCACAATAACCCTGTGCAAAAATATGAGCAGCCAAAAATATACCATAGAATTTCTGTGGGTGGACATTCTGGATTCTAAAATAATGAAAATGTGGGAATAGTGTTAGTCTATAAACCACTGGACAAGATCCACTGACCGAAACAAAATGCCGAAAAAGACCAAGCAAAGTACAGGAGTACACTAGCTGGCCTCAGCAGGCGGAAGTAGTGGACAGCTTCTGTTAGCCAAGTGTTGATAACATCTCCCCAAGAATGTGAAATGGATCAGTGCCAAGCTAGCCATGGGGGAGCCACTTGGAGAACTTGTCAATGTGCATATTCCCTGATCTTACCCCTCAGAGACTCTGATTCAGTGGGTTTGAGGTGGAGCCCAGAAATCATGCATTTTAATAAGCTCTCCTCGTGATGCTGATGTGCAGCCAAGTTTGTGAACCACTGTTCTGAGTCTCTGAGAACTGCAGCTAGAGGATTTAACTCTATGGGTCTATAGTAAATTGGGGTTACCAAACACATAAGTCAGTGGACCTGGGTAGAGGAAAAGAAGACCAACCAATCTATCTGGGTACTCTGGTGGATAAAATCTTCATGTGAATGTAATTTCTCAAGATTTTCAAAAAAATATCTACAAAGTTCCACACCAAAGGCTGTTTTAAAATGTGAATTGGGATTCCGGGCTTGTGTTGCTATGGACGGAGTCCTGACTTAGAGAGGCAACTGTTTTAGAGATGACCAAACACTGAACTTGAAGCTAGAGGACCCCAGGTAGGGACCCAGCTGAACTGTGTCCCAGTGCATGACCCTAGACCATGACCTCACCTCTCTGAGGCTCACTTTCCTCCTCTGAAAAATGTACTTCTTTGACACTGTAATGGCTGTGACATTCTCATTTTCCTTGTTTCTGCTATCCCCATCCATCTTCCTCTTGTAGTCTCCTACTCTGAGCTAGCTCTCAGCCTCTGATTGAATGTCTCCCCCTTTCTCAATTTTTCCTTTATGTTCCCAGATTGCTCACAGAAGCCAATGAGCTTTTGTGTGTGTATGTTTGCATGAGTAATTGTGATACATTTGGAAAACATACATGTGGGTGTTCAAAATATGCAGATGTACATGAACTTCCTACTTACTGTTCTTACCAGGAAAATTTTAAGCTCTTCATTGTTTCTTTCCTATTATCTCTTTTTTCTTTCCTGGAAAATGGATTTATGAACTAGCCTTGCAACTAAGCACTTAAAGTAACTCACAAAAATGTTCACCAGCTTGAATGTTGACATTCATACATGTCTTTTCATGCCACAACATTTACAATATTCTTTAATGTTCTCGTTGCCCCTTGCCATAACTTTGTAATCACCTTGGATGTAAATATTGATGCTTGCCCTTGAAGCTGAAATGTTTTAAAGTGAAAAGTAGGGCAAATGGAAATAAGAAGGAGTTGGTACTAAGCTATTATGGAGATTGAGATTTCAGACTTTTCTAGGTTATTTTTAATCTAATGGGAAAAATGGTTGCACTTGGGGATTTTCCTTACTGAATGTTTGTAAATGTACCATGTTAACAATGATAACCACTGAACCCCTTTTCCGTTCCTTTGTAGTGAAAACATTGTTCAATCCAGCACCTGCCATTGCAGACCTGGACCCCCGGTTCTACACGCTCTCAGATGTGTTCTGCTGCAATGAGACTGAGGTAAGGATGGAAGGTTTTGCTCATTTCATGGGAAACCAAAGACTCTCATGCAGGTGGATAAAGCAAAGAGGCAAGACTAACCACATCAATTTGATTGCATGTCAATTCTTGAGCCCAGTAAAAACAGATTTTTCAGTTGACTAGGGTGTGAGGAAAAGGAAATTAGTGAGTTCTAGAGAAAAGAAAGGATTCCCTGAGTCATCCCCAGAATGTGACACTTATCAAACCTCAGCTAATTTTAGTCCCCTCCCTACCCTCACACAACTGCTGTGTTGTTTTCTTTTTTAATTACTCCATATTCTATGGACTACTTAGTATGAAAGTTGCCAGATTTAGCAAATAAAAATCCAGATTGCCCAGTTAAATTTGAATTTCAGATAAACAACAAATAGTATACTAAATGTACTTACACTATAAAATTGTTGTTTATCTGAAATTCTAATTTAACTGGGTATCCTGTGTTTTATCTAGCAACCCTAATTACTTTACAACCCCTGGAGCATTCGCTACATTCTATTGTGAAGACCCTGTGACTGCATTGGTGGGCAGATATAGGTTCTCCATTGATGCCATGGGAAAGACCTTGGAGGCCCCTCCAAGGGAAGTGGGAAGCCCACTCTTAGTCTATCCGAGGGTTGTAATGCGTAGATCTGCATAAAATATATACCAATGTATTCATATTGTACCAGTCATTGTAAAGCACTTTAAAAAATTTTCAGTATTTCTCTCTATTATGGACAAGTTTTAGACCAGAGCTCTCTCCCAACGTTGGAAGAGAGGACATATTATACAATGCATCATGCAGAGAGAGAAAGTTAGTGATTAATGAACTATAATAGAAATTTTCCATTTGATTCAAAGACTGAATGAATGTTCCTAGGGTTTCCCAACCTGCCTTTTTGTTAATTTCATCTCTTAGAACATAAAATAAACAAGAAAGAAGACTGCCACAAGGAAACTAATTTTAACAAACCACAATAGGTTATGCAATATTTTTGAGCAACCACCATGGCCAGGCATTGTGCTAGGAAAAAGGAATTGTGGGAGATAGTGACCATTTCACAATAAGAGGTTAGATTACCCTCAACTGCCAAACCGGCTTAGATTCCCCTGCTAGATACTTACAGAGCACTGTATTTATTCTTAAAACACTCATCACAGCTCAAATTACTTGTTCAATACTTCTGTCTTCTCCGTTAAATTACTTAACCTGTGAGGGCAGAGACAGCTGTCGTTTTCACTATTGTATCTCCATGGCTATCCCTATGTGTAGAGTTATCCGCTGCTACATAATAAATTACCTCCAAATGTAGTGACTTACATCAACAATAATTATTTATTGTTCCTCCCTGCTTCTTTGCATCAGGAGTTGAGACAGGGCACAGCGTGGCTTGTCTCTCCTCCACACTGTCTGGGGTCTGGAAGACTCAAAGGCTGAGAACGGGAATCCTCTGAAGCCTCGTTCACTTACATACTTGCTAGTTGATACTGGCTGTTGGCCAGAGCACTTATCCATGGCCTCTCTTTGTGGCCTGGGCTTCCTCACAACATGGAAGCTGGGTTCCAAGATCCAGTACTGAGAGAGAGAATCAGGCAGAAGACATGTTGGCTTTTATGACAGCTTGGGAAGTTACACAGCATCTCTTCCAGCCCATTGTATTGATTGAGGTAGGAAAGTCCACCCTGGTATTCCAACTCTCAATAGAAGATTGTCATTGTCACAATGTGAAGAGAGCATATACAATGTGAAATATATTAAAACAGTTATCTTTGGAAATTACCATCATTATACTGTACCTGGCACATAGTTGGCCCCTAGTAAATGCTTATTGAATGAATGAATGAATTAACAAATGAACAAACTCTGGTCTTTAAGAAAATTGATCTCAAAAACTTAGTGGAAAAAAGAAAAACTGTTATGAGTTTAACATTCTTATGGATGACTTCTAATCACAATAATAATGTAAATTCATGCTTTAAAATACTCCTCAGCTCCACGCACAAACCATTGATATATAAATATAAAAGAGACAACGAAAAGATACTCGCAAGCTCAAAAACAAATAAAAACTCCACAGATGAGAAATGGCACAGAATCTCAGAGCATTCAGCCCTGGGTGTGCTATACTCCATTCCCAGAAGCAGGCATAGATGGTAGGAAGTTTGCCTCTTATAGGTAATGGGCACTAAAAGTGTGCCATTCATGGGAGCCTGGAGCAGTGCCCACTGCAAGAGACCAGAGGTGCAGGGCAAAGGCTCCCATGCTAACAGAAAAAGGTGGAGGAAGCTGCTAGGCCTGCTGCCCGAGTCTACAACATAGATAAGGCTCCCAACCTGAGGAGATAGGAGGACAGAGATACTGCCTCTGATCAGGAAGGAAACCAAACCGACTGCTGACTTAGTGGCTGGATAGGCAGTATCACCAGTAACACCAGAGCAGGAACTCCGTATTGCCAATATAACACCTGGCTCTGGTTTAGAGACCCTCAGGGGCTGATAGATACAACTATAAAACCAATGGAAAGACAGGGATAAGCCTGGTGGGAGCTGAAGTGTGAAGACTCTCCAAGTGAGCAAAGTGAGCTTGCAAATGAAGAGATCAATTTGCCAGAGATGAAATTCAAATAATAAAACAGTGCAAAAAAGACTGTAAAATAACTATGATTAAGTCTCTCATTCATGAAAAAAGGAGAAGAAATTGTGAAAGAAAAACAGAATTGAGGGGGCAGGCCCCAAGGCCGATAGTTAAGTTTGCGTGCTCTGCTTCAGTGGCCCAGGGTTTCACCTGTTCGGATCCTGGGTACGGACATGGCACCGCTCATCAGGCCATGCTGACGGAGCGTCCCACATAGCACAACCAGAAAGACCTACAACTAGAGCATACAACTATATACTGGGGGGCTTTGGGGAGAAAAAGAAAAGAAAAGAAAAGATTAGCAACAGATGTTAGCTCAGGTGCCAATCTTTAAGAAAAAATAAATAGAATCAAAGCAACAACATGTGAAGATGAAAACCAATCAGTTAGAAGTCTTTAAAATGAAAAATAGCCATTGAAATTTTTTTTAAATCACTCATTAGAGAGATAAACTTTAGGCTAGAATGAAGAATTAGTGAATTGAAAGAGAATCTTGATCAATTCACCTAGAAGTGGAAAACTCAATTCACCTAGAAAGTAACACAGAAAGAAAACTATTTTGAAATATGAAAGAGGAATTTAGAGAAATGAAAGATATCTTGAGAGGCTGCAACAAACATCTAATCAGAGTCAAAGAAGAAAAGAATGGAGGGAACTGAAGAGAAGCAATAGTAGAGGGAAAACTGCAAGGTGATTTCTAGAACTGAAAAAAGGCATGAGTCCTCAGATCAGCAGTGTATTAAAAGTACCGTGTGAGGTAAATAGATGTAACTCTCTACATTTAGCAGAACAGCATAAAGCCAAAGGTAGAGACAAAAATATTTTTAAACAGCCAGGGAAAAAAGACTGATTGCATATAAATGATAAGAATATCCAATACTTCATTGTTTGTAAAAGGGGAAAATGGAAAAGCCAAAGTGTCCATGTAAAGGACAATAGATTTTGTTTAAACTGTAATATATTTGCTATATGGAATACTGTGCAGTTAAAAAAAAAGAAATAGAGCTACGTATGTCAACACAAATTAAGTAACCTTAAAGGAAAAAAGCACATTGCTAAATAGTAGATATGGAAGATATCATTTACCTTCTTTAAAGGAAAATATCTTAAGCAAATAAAGTAAAATGTTAAGATTTGTTAAAGGTAGATGGTAAGAACATGAGGCTTTGTTGCATTATTTTTTATGTTCAAGATATTTCATTAAAGAATAGTTTTTAAAAGGTTTTTAGAAACCACAAGAAGTCAGTGTTTCTGAAAGTAGACCATCAACTCAACAGACATGTGATCCCAGTAATGAAGATCAATGAAAAACTTAGGAAAAAAAAAAAGAAAGTGGCCTCAAAGCACAACCAACTCAGACTGAAAGGGTTTGTGAAAAAGATGATAAGGGAGGATACGTGGTCAAGTTCATTAAACTGAAGTCCAGAATGAGCAGACACTGTGGGGTGATTTATAAAAGGCAGCAAAAAGGGTTAATCTGGGCACATTCAGGGCAAGCACAGGAAAGGATAGCCCCATTCTTGGTAAGAGAGAGTATATGGTTAAACCATAATACAGAAAAGACAGAATTTGGTTATACACTTCTTGAGTCAAAAGTATTAGGTAATTCATCTAGTCCAGTGACTTTTCAACCACCTATTTCAGAACCATAGAGGTTCCCCAGAGATGCTGGAGGGGTACCCAGGGGATGAGGAAGCAGGGCTGCAGCCCTTCAGCCCTACTTCTGCCAGAGACCTTTTTATATTCCAGGAGACCTACTGATCTTGTGCAAGCCCTTCATTTCACAAGTTGTCCAGGACTTCGGAAAGATCAGAGTTAGTAAGTGGTGGAGGGCTCCTGAAGGTCAGCACGTTGCTGCTTCTGCTCCATATCAGTGCCTCTCCTACTCTGCTTCCATCTTCTCTAGCAAAAACAAGCAAACAAAAGAAATGGATGGTGTGCACATAGAAAGCTATAACTAGCAATGTGAGAAAGGCATTACGGCCCAAGAGAGGCCTAGAAGAATTAGGTCATTAGGTGTGAAATTTACAGGTATGATTTATGTCAAAACCATTGGCAGTGGCCCCTTCCTTTGTGCTTTCCTCCGCTTCCTTTCTTTCTTTTGAAGAATTCTCTTTGTTCCCCCTAAGTGTCTATTAAGAAAATTACCATACATACACACAAAAAAGCTGAAAGAGCCATACAATGAATACTCACATACTCTCCACCTAAACAGTTGTTAACATTTTGCTATATTGCTTCCCCTCTCCCGTATGTATTTGTTTTTGTTGAATCATTTGAGAGTAAGTTGCAGATAAGATGATACCTCACCCCTAAATACTTCAACTTGCATCTCCTAAGAGGAGCCAGAATACCATTATCACACCTAAGAAAATTATCAATAATTCTATTCTGTCATCAAATATCCAGGCCATATTCACATTTCCCCAGTTGTCCCAAGAATGTCTTTTATAGCTAGTTTTTGTTGTAGTTGTTGTTATTGTTTTTTTAATTTATTTCCCTGAGCCAGTATCCATCAAAGTTCCCCGTTGTATTGGTTGTTACACAATGAAGGGAGAGATTTTCTAGAAAAACAAATCTAATCTGGAAGTGGACCACGTTACTTTTCTCACCACTGTTTCCTTTCCCTTTTGTTTGTTCCAGGCTGAGATTCTAACTGGCCTCACAGTCGGCAGCCCTGCGGATGCTGGGAAGGCTGCACTGGTGCTTGTGGAAAGGGGCTGCCAGGTCGTAATCATCACTTTGGGTGCCGACGGATGTGTGATGCTGTCACAGACACAACTTGTCCCAAAGCACATTCCCACAGAGAAAGTCAAGGCTGTGGATACCACGGTAGGTTTTAAAATTTCAGAATCATTTTTGGCCGTGAAAATCATCATTTAGTAACTAAGATACTGAGTTTTTGGATCATGTAATAAAGGCCCTAGCAGTTGATATAGTAGAAGAGAAGAAGAACCAGGCAGGAAAATTGTATCTTAATCCACCTCTAACACACTGTGGAACTTTATACAAGTCACTTAACCTCAGTGAGCCTCAGTTTCCTCATCCTTAAAATCGGAATAGCAGTAAAATTATACCTATATTACCTATTCATTCATTCAGTAAATAATATATTTTAAGGAGGAGGAGGAGTAGGAAAAGAATGGCAACAGATGTTAGCTCAGGTGCCAATCTTTAAAAAAAAAGAAAGAAACTTGCTCAAGATCATAATGCTAGTAAGTAACAGAGCTAGGAGTTCAAAACTAGGCCTGTGGACTCCACAGACACTTCTTGTGCAAAGTGCTGCTAAGGACAAGTGGATTAAGTGGACAAGTCACGGCCACAGGGCAGGGATGAAAAGGAAGCAAGTTAGAAAAAAGGCTCAGAGTTCCTCTAAAGCAGAGAAAACAAAAATTATTTGTTTAAGGCCTAGAATTCAGTAGAGCTAACTATAAAAGTGAGTAAACATCAGGGACACAAAACTATAGTTGAGGAAGAATTAAAATTTTAGGGTTTTTATTTATAAGAAGTTGATATATAATTATTTATAAAATTACGTTCTGGTTTTTAGGTTTAGAAAAGACTTTAGAATATAGGTCACTTATCAAAAAAAGAAGCCTAAGGGGATTTGATGAAGTTTTGGAAACGAATATGCTTTAAAAAATAGATAAGTGCTGGGAATGGTTTTATAACATGAAATTATATCCTGATTGCCTTTCAAATTGTGCTTTATCAGGCATTTGATAAATTGTACTTGTGTTGTTATTCTCTTCATATTGAGACATTTCTGAAACCACTCGTTTTTTTCTATTTGTCAAGGACAGTAACCTGAATTTGAGAAGTTCCTTATTAGTTCTGAAATTGTTCCTGCATTAGACTAAAACTATTCCAGGTCCTGAACTAAAGCAGAAGAGTTTGTTCTTCTCTCGCTAAAAATGAAATGAAGGGTCCTTGTGAAGATGTTGGACTATGGGGCTACCCAGAAGTGGCTCAGCCTCTGCCTTCAGTATCTGTGTCAGTCACGACTCCTTTTGCTCATAAGCATCAGAAGCACAACTCAAACGGGCTTACCCAGAAAAGGGGATTTATTTGGTGTACATAGGTAGGGCAGAATGCAGAGGCTAAACTGTGTCCTCGGGACTCACTCGCTCGTTCTTTCCCTGTCAGCCCTGCTTGCCTTGTAGTGGACTTTGAGCTGAGGCAGGGTCCCTGGCAGCTTCCTGCCCACACTCTGTCCCACGTCGTGTCCCCATCTCTGGTGTCAAATTAAAATCAAAGAACTCTTATCGTAAGATGGGAAGTGGATGCTGGTCAGACAAAAACAACCCATGCCCACCACAGAACATTCGTGTGGAAATGAACAGCTTGGGCATGGGACTAAATGATGAAGAAACTTGCCTTGGAAATGTTCGAATTCAAATCAGTAGTAATAATCCTCAGAGTAATTTCATGTTGAAGGATCAGATTTCATAAATCATAATGGATTATAACCGTGAGCCTCTTAAATACAGCAGTGTTCACGAAGAAGGTTTTCACATGTTATTGATACTGGTTTCTGCCCTTTCATTTGGTTTCTTAGCACTCGTAGTTAATTTTTACATTTCAGAAAAGGTAGAACACAGTGAACGTTCAGAGGAGGAACAGATCACTTAGTGCTTGGAGGCAGAAGATAGAGAATGGGATCAGGAAGTTCATGGCACTGGATCAGGATTGGCAAGTTTTTTCTGTAAAGGGCCAGATAGTAAAGTTTTAGGCTTCATGGGCCATATGCATACATGCTCTGTCACAACTACTCAGCTCTGCCATGTGGCATGAAAGCATCCATAAACAACTGTGTGTGCTACTGAAATTAAGCTGGTATTAATCTAAACTAGATTGTTTTAAATTTAGGTGTTGATTGGAATCACCAGTGCAGTTACTCAGACAAGAACTCAAAAAAAAAAAAAACTAAAAGGAACAAGGGAATTAAAATGGTACACTAGAAAATATCTACTTAACACAAAAGAAGAAGGCAGTAATGGAGGAGTAGAGGAATAAAGAAGCTACTAGAAGATATGCTGTTGTAAACTGAGGGATAAAACTAAGACAGAGGAAGATATGGGATCCAGGAAACAGGCAGTGCAACATGGAGAGAAGTCAGGGGGATGAGGGAAAGTTCTAGGACAACAGCTCTGCAGCCAGCCCATAACCAGTCAGTCCAGATGAGAGTAGGAGAATGGAGGGCTCTGGAAGGAATGTCTCCCAGACACAAAAAAAAAAGGAAAAGGAGGGAAATAGTGTAATGTCCAGTGTGTTTGACTACCCCCAGAGATTTTTAGTTTTCTTGCAGAATTTGAGGCTGAAGTAGTAATTAATATGTAGAAAACTGAGGAAATGAAAAAAAATGAAGCAAATATTTTTCTCTAGGTCATCTGGAATCTAAGGGGAAAAAGTATGATTACGTAAATGTATCTTTGTATGTCACATGGCTATGACTGCATAGTCATAACAATGTAAGTGCCAATTATTGATTTAACCAAAAATGGAGATTATAATCATATTGTGAAGATGGAAGGATAAAGTGAGTATATATTTGTGCGCACATGACAGAAGAGAACTAAATGCTCATCTTCCATAGTTGGAAGTCAAGAGATAATATCTAAAACTGATTTTTAAAAAGTAGCAGTATATTGGGGCTGGCCCCGTGGCCGAGTGGTTAAGTTCGCACGCTCCGCTGCAGGCGGCCCAGTGTTTCGTTGGTTCGAATCCTGGACGCAGACATGGCACTGCTCATCAAACGACACTGAGGCAGCGTCCCACATGCCACAACTAGAAGGACCCACAAAGAATAATATACAACTATGTACTGGGGAGCTTTGGGGAGAAAAGGGAAAAAAATAAAATCTTTAAAAAATAAAGTAGCAGTATAAGCATATTATCAGAAATAGAAGATAAATACCAGAAGAAACTGCTAAAAGAATTTAAAGTATTTGCCTCATGGAAATGGTTGTGGAGAGAAGTGGGGCATTTACACTTTAAGCTTTGTCTTTTTAAACTATGGATATGGATGGCTTTGATTTTTTTTTAAATGACAAAACTCAATGAGATACTATTTCACACTCACTAGGATCGCTGTAATCAAAAACAGCTAACAAGTGTTGGCTAGGATATGGAGAAATTGGAACTCTCAAACAATGCTGGTAGGAATGTAAAACGGTGTAGCCACTTTGCAAAGCAGTCTCAAAGTGCTTCAAAAAGTTAAATTTAGAGTTACCATATAACCCAGTAATTCTACTTGTAGGTGTATACCCAAGAGAAATGAAAGCATATGTCCGCACAAAAACTTATACACAAATGTTCATAGCAGCATTATTCATAATAGCCCCAAATTGGAGACAACCCAAATTTTCATTAACAGATGAATAGATAAACAAATTGTGGTATATACATATGATAGAATATTATTCGGCCATAAAAAGGAATACTGATAGATGATACTAAGTGAAAGAAGCCAGACATAAAAGGTCATATACTTTATCTTCCATGTACATGAAATATCCAGAATAGGTAAATCCATGGAAACAGGGAGTAGATTGACAGTTGCCAGCGGCTGGGGAAAAGGGAGAACAGGGAGTGACTGCTCATGGGTACAGGGTTCCTCTTTGGGGTGATGAAAATGTCCTGGAACTAGATAGTGGTGATGGTTGCACAACCTTGTGGATATACTAAAAACCACTGAATTGTCCCCTTTACAGAGTGAATTTTAGGGAATTTGAATTATATCTCAATTTAGAAAACAAAGGTCAAACAACAATAACAAAAAGATCCATCTAGGCACTTCGCTAAGGTTTGGATACTCTTGTGATAAAGAATCTTCCACTTAATTGCTCTACTGAATCTACTGAATGGGCTCTCAGTGTCCTCCCAGTGGAGCAGAGGTGACACAGGAAACAAGAGTAGTTATCTTCTGGGTGTGGAATCTCCCTCAGCTTTTTTTATGCTATCTTTGTCCCTTATCCAGCACTCTCTCTATGAAAATTCTTTCCTGTTCTGCACACAACTGTTCAGCCTCTTCATAAGTCTAGTGAAGAGGAGATCATTCACATGGTGAGGTGAGGAACTCCCGGGGAGGCATTTTCTTCTGTACAAATAGGCTCCTTCACTTTTCTGTCAGGAGGGTATGACTTACTCTCAGTTGATTTGTAACCTTCTCGCTTTTGTCTTCCTTCTAATCTCTTACGATGTACACCTTTAAAAAAAATCATGTTGTGCAACCTAAATATACACAATTTTTATTTGGCAGTCATACCTCAATAAAGCTGGGGGGAAAATAAATAAATCGGGGATGGCATGGATGGTGGAAACATCTTTAGTTAGTTGGCACATTGTCCACTTGAGACAGATAGCCTGCCCTGGAGGGAGCCATTTCCTATTCTACGTCAATGCTTCTGCAGACTGCTATATTCCGTTTTGCCTCAGTGTTAATAGTTGGATATATCACTTCTATTTTTACATCCATTTTTCCCGTTGTACTAGAGTGAGATGGTGGCAGTAGCTGCAGATGTCCCTCAGCTCAGTTTGGAAGACATGACAGATGTGTCTCTTTTCCCATCTCTATATGTTATCTGAATCTCAGCCTCAAAATGACACAGTGCTGATGTTCTCACTCCAGTCCTTCCAACCTGAGGGTTAGGGCCTTGCCTTCTTGTGTTCACGATTGCGCTGAGTAATCACTCCATAATTTATATACCTTTAAGCATGGTAATATTTTAGGATTATTGTGCTAGTTTGATATAATATATTGTAACATTAATTTTTCTTGGCCTATAAGCTCTGTGAAATTCTTAATATATAAATTGCTTTTCTACATGTAAATAGTTTCTATGATTTAACAATCTACATTGACACTTTAATTTCAGGAATTCAGCCCATAGGCTAAACCTGTCTTCTCAAGAATCACTCACTTTATAATAAGTCATCATAATTTGGAGTATATAAATAAGCTGAGAGTAATCCAAAGCCAGGGGCATGGGGGATCCCCTTACCTATTCTTTATGCCCGTTTCTTTCTATCCATTATCTTTGAGCCCTGTGGTATTCACAGTTGCTGGTGAGGCACTTGGCAGCATCAGCCCAGCTGCATAGATGCCCCTAAGGGATAACTCAGGCCTTGAGAATCAGCTCTAAACTGGAGATTGCACCAGCAGGAAGTGGAGATAGTTTCTGTTAAAGTTTGCATGAAAGTACTCATGAGGGTAGGGCGATTGCTGGGGCTGGGGGTTATCCACAGCTTTCTAAGGTAACCTCTCCATGGTGTGTTCCCCTCATCCTGGAGTCTGGCCTTCAGCAATCCAGGCTGCTCTTAAGGATAGGTTCCCATTAGTCCAATTCTGAGGTACCATCCAGAATGACAGTTCAGTCTTTGAAAACCCACCATCTGAAGGGCCATTATTCCCATCCTGGTGTGACCTTCCCCCGCAATCTAACACCCTTCCCACCCCCTGGCCAGTGGAAAACCAAACTAATATTGCCAGATGTAATTAGAACCAATGAATTTAGGTGCTCTTAAGAGGTGTTTCTCAACTCAGACAAAACTAAGGTGCTATTTCCTGCTTATCCATAGTCTTGCTGAGAAGACCGAATGCTCACCAGTTCTTACATGGGCACTGCCATGTTAGTCTTTGTGACCCTCCTTAGACTGTGCTACCCCAGCAAACCACTCTTTCTTCCTGCCACCTCCGTCTTTCTGATAAACACATACGTTCTTTGCATTTGTTAATTATTAGTAGGGTTTCTGAAGGGTCTTTGTAGTTCCCAAGCCATTTTGTCCTTGAATAGAGCCTTTGAACATTTTTGTCCAGAGACTTCTGTTACAGCCAAGATGTTTGAGTGCCCCTCACTGTTAACTGCCAATACCTGAAAAAGGGTTGGGAGAGTAAGATACTGTACATAAAATGTGACAGAATCTTGGGTGCTGAAGAGCTAAATGTAAAATAATAATGCTAACTTTAACTGCCATATCAATTTATTATCCAGGAAGTGACTGGTTTCCTTCAAATTTGACCTTAGGAAAATTAAGAGAATTAATTAAGAGAATTAGGAGAATTAAGACTCTATTGAGACTGTCACTACTCAAAGAACCTTGGGAAAACCTCTTTTAGAATTGCCTTGAGAGGCTTCATCACCTTTACCCCACTAATCACTCCATTGGTTTTTTTTCTTTCTACTCATAAAATGAATACATGCTTATCAAGCAGAGAAAAATAGAAAGGTATAAAGAAGAAAATCAGATACCCATGATCCTACCACTTAGATGTAACCACTGTTATCCTTTTAGTGTAAATCCTTCCAGATGTTTTTTCATGCACATTCATTCACTTTTGAATATCTATTAACAGAGAATTTGAATATTTGCAACAGCAGAGATTCATATGTATAATTATGGGAAGCCTCTACAACTCAAAAAGAATCAAACATTTCTCTAGAATAATGTAAATAGGCAATTCACTGAAGAAGAAATTAAAAAAGTAAAGAAATGAGACATTGTTCAACCTCACAAGAAATCAAGAATATGCAAATCAAAATAACAGTGAGGTCCCCTTTATTGCCTATAAGGTCAGCAAAAAATAAAGATTGATAATGTCAAAGTCCAAATAAATTGGAGAAAACATCCTCTCATACAATCCTAGTGGGAATGTAAATTCACACAATATTTTCAGAGGGTAATCTGACAACCAATTTTTTTAAATATGCTTTCCCTTTGACCCAGTAAATCTCCTTCTAAGAGTCTGTCCTACAGAAATGCTCCTACGTACAAATATTTGTATGAGAATGTTTATTTCTGCTTTGTTTGTAATAACCAAAAATTGATCAATCTACGTAATCATCAGTAAGGAAAAGTCAAATTATAATAGTATGGTGCCATTTATTTAAAAATAACTGTAGCTGTCTGTAAGTAAAAGCATATTTTAAAATCTGGAAAAAAACTCCACCAAACTGTTTTGATCATTACTCATGGGAAGGGGAGGGAGTTGGGAGGAGGTGTTATGAAAGAGGACTTCTATGTTATACTCTTTATTCTTCTGAATTGTTTGAGTTATTCCATAAGCCTATATTTTTCATGAATTACTTTGAAATTTGGAGTAAATATGACTTTGGGACATAGCAAAAAACTATTTAGAGCCACATCTAGCAAGTAAGATAGGTGATATCATTTCTCAAAGGGCGTGCTGGGCATCGTTCTCACAAAGGAGCAAGTAATTGGCCACAGTTCACTCCTGGTCTCATAAAGAACCTCTCAAGCATCCCAAGATCTCCATATAAGTAGGCTGAGCAGCCCTTTGGCTTAAGATGACTTCTGAATGGATAGACTCCTGATGCCAAAGAAATAGATCTACATTACTTTCAGGTCCAGGGCACTTGAGCTTCCTGGATATTTCTGGATATTTTACTACACATTTTTGCCAGTTTTTTTCTTAAACTTTCCAAAGAAGCAATTTCCCTCAAAATATGTGACTTTATACAGTTTCCTTTGGAAGTATCAGAATAAATGTCAAAGCTGCACTGTTTCTGTTTGTTACTCAAATGCACGGCAGATCTTCAAAGAAACTTTACCCACGTTCAAGTTTTCTTTCTGAATGAATCTGCTTATATATCTCAGTTAACTCTTCAACCCTCATTCTCACAATTAATAATATAATGAATGATCCAGACTTTGGATTTGCCACATTTCTTGGTCTTTGGTTAATGGATCACCTGGAGGAGTTGTAAAAGGGGCCAGGCTATAGGTGCTGTCTCATATTTAGCTACTTAATAGTTCACAAACTTCATTGTTCACCTACCTACTATTTGAAACAGGCCTGAATGGAATGGCTGATGAGGGATGGAGAAACATGTAACACAGTCCTTTGGACACATCCTTCATATGTTGAAGCCCTAACCCCTAAAGTGACTGTAATTGGAGATACGGCCTATAACGAGGTAATTAAGATTAAATGAAGTCGTAAGGGTGGAGCCCTGAAACCGTAGGATTAGTGTCCTTATAAGAAGAGGCACCAAAAAGCTTGCTCCGTCTCCATGTGCACTCAAAGAAGAGGTCTTGTGAGCATGCAGCAAGATGGTGGCCTGCCAGGAGAAGAGGGCTCCGAAGGAAACCTATGTTGTCAGCACCTTGATCTTGGACTTCTAGCCTCCAGAACTGAGAGGAATAAATTTCTGTTAGTTAAGCCACTCAGTCTGTGGTATTTTGTCATGGTGGCCCGAGCAGACTAACACAAACAAGAAAGCAAATGAAGGTGCTTCAGAAGTGAGCTAAAGCCAATGCTGAAAAATCAGCTGTTCTGTGGGGAGAAAATAATCTGGAGTGAACAGGATCAGCTTAAATGAGCTTTCTGGTGAAATATCTCGAGAGTTTTGCATATCCTTCAACTGTAATCATCAGTCCCATTGGCCAAGGACAGATGATGTCCTGAGTTCTAATCCTGTTTAGTTATTAACTAGCAGACAGCTTTGGGCAAATGACTCATCATATTTAGGGCTCAGGTTGTTCATCCAATCATGAAGTGTCTGGAGTGGGGGATCTCTGAGGCATCTTCGACCTCTGAAATTCTTTGATTCTTACAGATTCTTGGGAACATGAGGATTCTTTGGCTAATAATGAAAAGCAGGCACTACTCTGTGCTAGGCATTGTGCTGGACTCTTTATTGCATTATCTCATATGATCAGAACAACCCTGCAAAACAGGGTTAATGCCCATTTTAGAGAGGAGGGAACTATGCTCCCAAAGGTAAACAACCTGCCCAGAGCCATACAGCTGGTAAATTGGCGGAGCCAGGAATTAATTCTAGATCTGTCTGTCTGCCTGACTCTAACATCCATGTACTCCTACCCCACCACTCTGCCTCTTGATTTGGTGGCAGTCTGCCTAGCCTTTAATCTCTCCTATTTGGCATTCCAGCACTGACTTTCCTTGTCACTTGTCATGATACAGTCTTCTGTAATTGCTCCATTTCTCTAGATCTTCAGAAGCTGCCAGATCTTGCAAATGCACTGCCTGCTTTGTGCAGTACAGTGCAGCCTCACTTAAATGCAATAACACATATATAGCCCTACAAACAGTGCCTGGCACCTGTAAGCACTCAGAACAGACTTAGCGCTCATTAGTAGGTCCTTTTGTGTCTGATTGTTCACTTTACCTGGATCATTTGGGGGTACTAGGTAGCACATACCAGGAGCTTGCATCATTCAGTATTATGCAGAGTGGGTTTGACCTTGGCTTTGTACATCACTGGAGAGAAGCCTAGGTCCCACTGCTATTCAACTCCAGCATCTTCCTATACTGGGCAAGGAGCTGGACTGCACGGATAGCGGTGTGACAGGATCATGCCAGTCCAGATATCAAACGTTTGGGTACAGATCACTGCTATTCATTCTTGTCATTGAATGAGCAAACCTAGAAGAGAGGTGCACCACTCTTAGAGACCATAATCAAATCATCTTTTCATTAACCTTCTTTAAATAGAGGCCTGAACTGCTAACTAAAGGAGCTAGGGAAAATGTAATTCCTCTTTTTTAACATTCCCAAACTAGCTCTCTAGTTTAAGGAAAGGAAAAACACTCCTCGTTCCCTGCCTAGCAAACTCCTACCCATCCTCAAGCCCAGAGAGTTCTTTTGGAGCACCCCAATGCTTAATACAATGCTTGGCATATGATAACAGGACCTCCTGAAATAGCAAAAGCGTTCTAGTTCCTTCTGGGAAAGTAGTGTAAGAGTCACTTAGCTTCACTGAGCCCCAGTGTTCTCAGGGGCCTGGAGGATCTACAGAATCCCTTACATTCCTTAAATTCTACATTGAGCATGCCAAAGGAGAGAGTAAATTTCAGATTAAATGTTCTTTTTTAATGATTTGAAAACAAAATAATTACCCATGTTAAAACATGTCCTTAGATTGTTTTATCTGCAGTTATAGAAAGGCCAGGCCAAAAAAATTAAGTTATAGAGGGTAAATGGCATCTCTGAAAGAAAACCCAAATGAAGCTCTGAAATAGCCATCTTAACCTTAGGAATGATATCAATAAATGGTTATGATATCTGCAAACTCTGCTGACTCTGGCTGCCAGAAAAGATGAAGATGACAAAAAGTTCACTGACTATATTGAAAGGACAGAGGACAGGTAATTGCTAAAGAGACTGATTGACAAGGCACAAGACATCTGTCATGCCCAGGGGGCCATATTAGCTCTATTACATTACTTCCACATCAGCAGGTCACCTCATTCACTAGCTAATCAGGCAGAATTAAATATTTTAAATTATCTTTCTTAATCCTGCATGTGATCAGTTGAAAACCCTGGCTCTAAAAATCTAATTGTAACTGCTTACCAGAAATGTCATCTTCACTTTGAGGAATTGAACCAGGGCCAAATGTGAGGCTGTTTTTTCCATTTTCCTAAAGTACTGTCTCACAGCCAGAACTGGACATGCATGTACATGTGCCCAGTGCCAGACATCTTAGGGGCTCCCAAGGGGACCTGGGATCCCTGGCCTTGCTTCAGAACTCAAATATGGCCAGAGACTAAAAAAAGAGCAATAGAAGTGGAGAAGAGGGGCCTGGAGGTGGAGGTAGGATGTACAGGAAGAAACGACTGTTAAAACCTTACCAAAGTCAGGAGAGCAAAATCTAAATCTAGATCTAGAGTGTTCTGTGGGCCTGAATGGTACGTAATTGGAGGGAAAGGACATAGTTCCCTCCCAGTAAGAAGGGATGGTGTGATGTTATGGGAGCTTGTTCACCCATCTACGATTAGGACTTCTCAGCTTCCTACACCTAAGCCCCACTTCTCCCTGCTCCTTGAGTGTCCTGGATATCAGTGTGATAACAAGGCAGTGAGCCAGTAGCCTGCTCCTTGCCCATTTTCCTAAGCTGCTGCGGTAGCGTTCTTGAGGGCAGACCTGCCAGGACTATAGTGTAGGTCTTCTAAGTGGTTTCCGTTGTGTGGTAATTCTTCTTGAGTAGACCTGAAATTATGAGGAGGTGAAAAAACCATTTGGAGCCAAACTGTAGAGCCCAGTGAGTTGAAACTGTGCCCATTGCCCTCAGTGCCCATTGCTTCTGACAGAGGTGGACAAAGAAATGAAAAAACAGGTGTGTGGTTCATAGCTTGCTGAACATCTGTCTGTCCTTTGTATGAAAGTATGTGTATGTTGTAGGTTAGTTGTGTGTATACTTTGTATGTTCTCAAGGTTGATGACGTGTGCTCTGTGTGAATGACCTGTTAGTGGCATGAATTCCATGTGTTTATGTGTGCATGTGTGTGTGAGTAAAATGTACTACAGTAAGACAGAGTCTAAAGGGGCAACTACTCACTCTCACTTTCCTCCTCCTACTTCCATTCCTTTAAAAGCCATGGGAGTGCTCTACACTATAGCACAACCCCTGAAAAAGCTACGTGATTTGGGGATAGAGAGAGTCCAGAGGTTAGGTGAATTACGTCTCCCCTGAAAGATTCTTTAAAAACTGAAAGTTTTATATCCTTTGCCTTCCTTCGTCAAAACAAACCAAAATCGGGAAAAGAATGTTCATAGTTATATAGTCTTCTCTGTAACTTTTAGTTTTAGCATATGGGAATCTAATTGTGTAGATTAAGTTGTAAGTGAATCTAATTTGCACCAAATAACTTACAACCCTTAGTAGTCCCAAGGCCAATCAGATTTCCTACCTTCTTTCCCTCTTTCCTTCTATCCTCCCTTCCTTCCTTCCTTCTCTCCTTTCTTCTTTCTCCCTTTCCTCCCTCCCTCTCCTTCTTTCTTTATAAATTATGAAATATTTCAGTTATACTGAAAAGTATAGAAAATAATATGAACACCCATGGACCTACCACCCAGCTTTGTTAATTCTTAACAGTTTGCTATTTTTGCTTCAGGTAGGTTTAAAGAAATAAAACATTATAAACGCAATGTGACCTCTTTGCTTAAGATGCTTAGTGCTATGAAGATTCAGCCTATATCACAACATGGCTCTTTGAAACACACTTGAACAGAAGGATAGTATTATTTTGTAAGAATTTCTCTTGATCTTTTCCATTCTGCAGTTTTACTACAATGAGTCCAGATCAGAATTTATTTTTATTTATACTGCTCACAATTCTTTGTTCTTCCTGAATCTCAGCATTTATGTTTTTCATCACTTCTGAAAAATTCTCAACCTTTCTGTCTTTTATTTTGCTTCTCCCCTGTTTTCTCAATTCTCTCCTTCTGGAACCCCTATAAGGTATATCTTTTCTATTCTTCATGTGTTTGAAAACTGCTGGAAAGAGAAGCTTAAATAGGGTTTCTTCACAGTCAGGATCCTCAGGCTGCCTGTCACCTTATTCTTGGAGCATCCTGGGAATTCCAGGGTTGATGAAACAAAAGTGACCTCTAGAAGTGAAAACAGTCCTTTAAGAAATGGAAAAGACCCCCGTGGGAAATTATGGCAAAATGGGGTGAGGAGCACCCCACTGTGTACTCATTTATTCAGCACACTTTATTTGAATTTTCTGCATGCCACGCAGCAGGTGTGCGCTGGTGTAATAGGGTGTCACTGGTGTAATAAGACAGTCCCTGGGCACAAAGAGCTTAAGTCTAGAAGAGTATGTAGCCCACACAGTCAGAATAAGTGCCGTGATAGGGATGCACCTGAGGTGCTGGGGAATGCAGTTGACGGGCCCACCTGGCCTGAGGAGCCCAGGGAGCTTGCTTTGAGAGGGCAAGGGAAGGAGGTGAGCTGAAGGATAAGTCAGCTTGGTGAAGGGTAACCCAGGCAGAGGCAGCAGCTCATGAAACGACCCTGGGCCAAGAGAACATGTCATGTTTGTGCCTTTTTAAGTAGCTCTGTTTGGAAAGAGCTTAGAGTACAAGAAAGAGTGAAAAAGGATGAGGTGCAACCATAAGAGGGATAGGTTGTGAACAGCTTCATTTGCCACAAGTGGGAATTCACACTTTCTCTTTAGGGCAATGGGGAGCCATTGAAGAGTTTAAGCAGGGGATGGATTCGCTCCGATTTTTGCTTTATAAAAAGATTAACATGGCACTGTGTGAAGAATACATTGGTAATTATAACACTAGAAGTTAGGCGAACCATCCAAAGACTGTTGCGTGGATCTAGTGAGAGATTATGGCAGCCTGGGCTGGGGAGGTGGCAACAGGGATATTGAGAAGTGGGTTTAAGAACTCTTAAGAATTCAAAGGACATAATGGTAGTTCATTTTCTTTAAAAAAAAAAAAAGGGGGGGGTGGAGAGGACTAAGTCAGATGCTTATTTCATGGTCAAAACAAATATAGCATTCTGCCAGTCTCTATGGTTCTCAACATTTTTTTGAGCCCTGACTCACCAAGGGCTAAGACCTACTCTCATTAGAAACAGTTCATATCATGAGTGATTCTCTTCAGATGGCACAGGAAGATGCCTGTGTAATTTACAAAAAAAAAAATGAAATGCTCAGGTGACTCCTATGTGCCCTTCCATTGGGTGTGCCTGGCTGCCTGCCACCCCCATTTTTGAGAATGACTGATCTATGCAACAGAGAGCATTTGGAGCAGAAATTTATCTTTCATTTAAAGTAAATCACATTTGAAGGAAACTCTTTTGCAACATAATGCTGGTTCAGATATCTCGCCCCACCACCTGTGCCTTACACACTAGCTTACACCTGATAGAAACACGGCCTTCAGGTAACTACACACTCTCCTCCTGACGAAGTGACAAATCAGCCAGTATGTGATGAATCTGGATTGTGTAGACAAAAATACCAGGTATTCCAGCCAAGACATACACAGTGTAGTGTGAATCACCCACACCAGCTTTCAGCACACTTAGATTCACAGAACAATTGCTCAGTTCCTTCCTTTGCTTTCAGAGTGTAGACCTGGCCCAAGACCCAAGAGTAAAGCAGGAACTATAAGGAAGCAGAAACATTATAAATAACCCAGAGAACCCTCTTATAACAGCAACTGCCTGCTGATTTTGTGGCCTAACAGCTCAAGCAAAAAAAGGATATAAATACAATATTGTGCAATGACTAATTACTCAAAATTTTGTGCATCAGCAGAAGTGGAACCTGTGGTTGGTGCTAATATTATCAGATGCCTGTGCTATTTAATAATCTGGTAGCTCTATATTATTTAGCATGCAATTTTCACAGAGAACAATGATTTTATTTCAAGTACCTCTCACTGAAATAAAAAAGCAGCTGTTAGAAGATGAACATTTGGCAGAAAATGTTTCAGCAGAGTCTTTTGTGAGATACTAAGTCATATTGGATTAACTGTTTTCTGTCTAGAATAGTGGAACCACAAAGAAATAAGATCACTGACCAGAGAAGGCAAGGCCAATCTTTAGAACCCAGTGAATCACTAAAAGATATTTTAGTTTTAAGTGCCGTTTATTCACCAGTATATAAAGTTATTTATATACAAAGCTTCCATTAATATTGCCTGAAGAATGGGCCTTTTCTATACCAGTTTTAGCTCGCAGTCAGGATTCCTCTTCTCTTTCATTAATACTGGAATTCTTTAAATTATAGAATAAATTAATCAACCCAGACATTTTGGCCAGAATGGGGTTTTTAACCAGTTTTCAGTCTCCACAGGCCATTCTCTGTGGCTAGCCAGACAGAGGAGCAGGGAGGGCTGTGACCAAGCACGGCGCCTGCTGAGCACCTGCTGGCCCTGCCCCTGAACCTGAAGAGGGCCCTGGCAGCCTGCTGGGCTCCTGGCCTCATGGCGCACCCACTCCCAGATGACCGCGCAGGGCTGAATCCCAGACTGACAGTAGACCCTCACTTGTTCTTCAAGCTGGCCAACCACTGGTCAAACGAGGGCTATACTGGAGAGGAAGTGACATCATGACATGGCTGCTGAGCACAGCCAGTTTCAGCCAAAGAACATTATGGTTGAGCTGCTTTCGTGTGGCCATATTGATTCAGGAACATTTTTCATATTAAATTTTTATAATTATCAATAAAACAATTTCTCCTCTTTTCTAAACTATCATGCAAGGTACAAAGTAAACAGCTTCACCCTATCCCCATTTCCCACTCCTGGGGTGGAGTGAGTGATGGGTAAAGATAAAAAGTGGAGGAAGAGTTTTCAGAGATGGCTGAGGATTGCTTATAGTGTAAAGTCTAGGCTTGGGCTGAGGGTGGCATGAGCTTGCAGAACAGGGGTGGGGTCAGGGGTGTCTGTTTTGTATGTTATTTGGTGATGTGAGACAGTATGCCTGCATTTTTTACATAGTTTTTTTTTTTTTTTATGCAAGTGATAGATCAAAACAGCTTCATAAAAATGCCCCATTTCAATACTGGTGTGACTGGCCAACCCAAAGCCCATCAACTGGAAGCTGAGAGTGGCCCCTAGGCCCTGAGTCAGGCCCCACATGGAGCCAGCAATGGCCTCTGTCAATATGATCCATTGGCTGACTTAGACCAGGAGCCATTTGTCACCAATAATGGAGCCAGATCAGCCCGTGGTGCTGACCTCGGAGGTAGCCAGAACCACAGCCATGTCCAGTCACGTGGGAAGGTTAGGATGGGTGAAACACGTGGCATCAGGCAGGTGATATCTTGCCTTTGACTCAATTTTAGATCAAATTGAAGTGATACAGTTATTATGATCTGTTACAAATAGTTACTAAATACTTGTAGGGTACCTATAAATGAAGAATCTGTCAGTTCTGGGATGCAGGTTTGGTAGAGTTTTTCTTATTCTCTAGTAGTTGACTTTTAATTAATATGCTGAAAATTGAAAGACCAGAGTGATTCTCTAATACCGCTGACATTCTTTTTGGGGAATGAAATGCTGCCTTGAATGATACATCAGCCCCACCTTACTTTGATTTTGCTCTCAACCCCTCATTGATCCTTCTCTGTTTTCATCCATCTAATTGAAAGAAGGCTCTAGCCCCATAAACCTCATTCCAGGTGGAAATGCATAATTCAAGAGAAATACTGATGTCAAAGAAGAGAAGGCACACCAATTTGTGTCAGCAGTTGCTGTAAATTAGAGAGGAGTACAAGGAGAGTTTAATGTAATGTAGAATTGAAAATAAAATTAGAACCAATATTTAGGCAGTCCTCCGCCCCTTTTTTCCCTGCTGTGACATGAAGGATTGACTCCCAGTGTTAAGTACCTAATGTAGTTCATTTTCTTTTCTGCTGGAATTTTTTCCCCCATAAAATGTAGCATGCTTATCTTTGGCATCCAAAATTAGATCTTTTCACCTTTTCCATTCTAATCTCAACAGAAAAGTCAGGGTAGGAAGAGTCAAAGTTTTTCTCTCATATTCCATATCCATTATGTTGGCAGCGTAGAAAGGACCCCTGCTATACCAGTCTGACTAGTTCAGCTGCTGTAAATAGCTATTAACTCTTCCTTAACAGTGATTCTCTCTAATATGAATGTCACCTCCATGGTTTCTTTTCTTTTTCTAAAGCTGGAAAATAAAAGGTTGATAATGAACATCTCACACATGTACTACTATGCAAGGTGTCCCTAAACACTCAGGAGAAGAATTCTTCAGCACACATCCAAAAGACTGTTCTCCCCTTTAAGCTAGTTACATTTAGTCCAATCAAACTGCCATTGCTCAGAACCTTTTTGGTACTCTTTATTCGAATTTCCTTTAGAGCTGGTATTGTTCTTTATAGTTGCACATTGTTTTTGGCCAGTGGTGGAATTCTCTAGCTTGATCCCCCACCTTAATCACTAGACTTGGTTTTAAATGATTCACTCTTTCCAGAAATAAATTCCTTAGG